TATTAATCATACGAAGAATGATTACTCAATTGCATACTAGTTAAATTAATTCTAACAACGAAAACAGACAATAAAATTTGGGATTTTGAAAATAATGAAAATACTAAAAACTCTACAAAATAACGAAAAGAACAAATATAAAAATTAAAGAAAATTGGGAAGATAAACTGGGCAAATTATTTATTAATATTTAATTAGATAACATTAAAAAAAAAAATCAATCAATATAAACGTAAAAGTCATACACATGAAAATATAATTCAACACAATCCAAAATAGTAAAAAAAAAAAATAAAATTGAATCATATACGTATAATCAAGTTTCAAGTTTTTACGAATTTAAGCGAGATAAGATAAAACTCATATGTAAATCATGATTAAACGGTAAATACAAGTTTCAAATTTAGGCGAAGTTTATGCAAAGCTTTTATAACAATGATTTTTAGAACTATTTTTTGTTTTTTTAAATGTTTTTTGAACTCTTAAAAGAATAAAGAACACTATATAGATTGTCCAAATTTAAGTTTAACAGAATAAATTGATAAAACCTAACAATAAAAATATATATTAAGCATGGTTATCATACCTGACCCGATCGTTAATTGGACAAATTATCGCGGTTCAACCCTGAGTTATTGCAAGGTTGAACCCCGTGCCTTTCGTATGCAAAGATAGCACTCTACCATATGAGCTACGCAACCATTTGTTCAACTTTGGTACATTTATAAATATTTAACGTCATTCGTCAAAACCTTATATTCCTTTCTTTTCCGACAGATCCAGTATGGGTGGCCGCGCCGGCTCGTCGAGTGCTGAATCCACCCCTAAAGATAAATATTTGGGATTCATGATTTCACTCAATCATCGCCTAATTGAATTCTCCACGTGCAAATCAACCAATTACTCATCTAGTATGTCGGCCTCGATTTTCTTACTTTAATTAATTACCTCTCTTGTGTGTAATTAGCCATAATTAATTGGTTTAACATAATATATCTTTATGTCGATTAAAACTCAATCAATGGCATTAAATTTTTGTGAAAAATATTTCAATGGGTCATCTGAGTTTAGGAGTATATATCTATTTCGTACAAGAACCATATTATTTACTATTTGATCTAAAATATATAATATTATCTCAAAAATTGCACAAATAACTCAACAAAATTATTTATTGGCCAAATAAATGAAAAATATTAAATACATAATAAATGCACATGAAAATAAGTACTTTAACATTAAAGAACAAATATTGAAATTAATCAAGCTAAGTTAAGCTACATCACCAATATAAAGAACTTGGCTCCTTTTATATCTAAATGATAAAAATTGAGAAGATTTATAGAAACATATTATAAATTAGAGAAAATAATGGATAAAATATAAGACAAAAGACAGAACCTTTCTCCTGGTTGAATTCTTGAAATGAAAATGGACTTGATCTTGATTTTTCTCATCCTTGCACCCTAGTTCCTACCCCCATTTTTTCTTGAAAGGAATATAAAATGAAGGATGAATGAATAATGTGGCTAACGGCTAAAATTTGGTTTATAAATGAGCTAAAATCGCAACCAAGAAATTACCCAAAAAGCCCCCAAAACTTTTAGAAATTACAAAAATGGGGCAGAATTCTCTACCCTCTGTAAATCGGCGCAAGCGACACACAGCCAACGGGCGTACTGCCCTTTGGCTAAAATAGCCCCCGTGCATATGGGCTTGTCCAGGATACACGAGCCTTTAGCTTTCTTCATTTTGTAGCTCGAGTCCTCCACTAATTGTGCGTCAGGTCTCCCAACTTTTATTTTGCACATTTTGGCCCTTGATAAATTACATCCAAAGTCCTTCAACTTTCAACACTTTACCATTTAGTCCCTAAATTTATGCTTTTGTACACTTTGAGTTATTTTTCCTTTCCTTTTGCCTTGTTCTTCTTCAATTAGGAGATTTTGACCTATAAAAGTAAAAATTACACAATTGTGAGTAGAGATTCACTCATTTCACCTTGGGCATAAAAAATAATTTTAATAACGACACAATGTTTTCATTTATCATGTACTTAAACTCACATATCACTTTAATGGGCAAATAACCTACCTTGTGGAACGGATGACTCCTTGCTACTATATGTCAAGCATGTTTGGGATAGCTGTTGGGGCAAAACAAGTCCCACATCGGTTGTGGGAAGAAAATAAATCCACCATATAACTCAAGTGAGCCACTCCACCCATTATCAATTGGTTTTGGGATGGAACCTCACTTGGGCCTGGTGGTGTGGACTTGAGCCTTGGGTAATTGCTCTCAATAATTCCCTAACAATAGCTTATACTGCCTCACCTATTTGGATTAGCTTCTTCTCCTGCTGCTTTTTTTTGGCAGAATGACTTAATGAGAAAGCTATATTAAGTTCATGTTTGGACTTTATTTTAATTTATTGCATTTTTTCCATTTCTTCATTTCCAATCATATATTCTTCAATAAAAATAATATTACACGTATATCCAAAAATTTTCTTACTTTTAAACCGTACATTTTTCAAAAATTATTATTTCAAAATACATTTTTTCCAAAATTTCATTAAAATGAAGCCCAAACAAGGGCTAAACTTAAAAAATATTTTAATCAGACTAAGCAATTTAAAGAATATTCAAACATGTCTAAAAACCATTGTTAACATGTCCAATGACAATATGAATTGCATTAAAAAAGTTGCCACATAAGTTAAAATAGAAAATGTGTGCAAAGTTCCTTTTTGATGCAATATGTCTTGGACTATGTATGAAGAAGTGGTAAGAAAATTATAGATACTTTGAAGAAATTCGTCCAAATGTAAATACACTTAACGTTCTCTCTTATTTTTTATTTTTTCTCCCTCAGGATTATTATTTTGTTGGTATCATATTAAATATACATCAAATTTGAATATGGAGAGAACTCATTGGAGATTAACATTGATAACGTTCATTCATTATACATCAATATCACATAAATCTAAAATCTTTCTTTTTACACGCTACCTAAATAGCAATTCATAAAATACATTGGAGGTTAATTTTAAAAATAACTTTTAACTTTTCAAAATCCTGACAAACATGCCTGCTATTCTCTATAAAGTCATCGAAATCTTTTGAAAATTCATTCCCAAATTTTTGATTAAAAAGAAAGTAGATGGAAAAGTCCTACCATTTGAGTAAAACGAAAGATCCAAAGGTATAGTTGCATTTGCATTGAAAATTGAGGATTGAAACTTTCCTTTACTACCCTTGCATTTAGTCACCTAAAAATAGAGGGTCAATGAGCTTGATAGTGCCATTTTGGCATCACTACCGCATATTTCGATGGGCAACATTTTTCATGGAAATTTTCCAATTTTTGTAGTGTTTAATAGAAAAAACTCACTTTTTCTCTCACATGCACATTTTCCATCCTTTTGTTGAAATTGTCTTTCCACCTTTTAAGTGGGTTTTCATTTTCCAGCTTTTTTTTTTCTTTTTTTGGTAATAAGGAAAAATTCTAGACCCAATCATAAAAAAAAATTATCATTTTTATTGACAATTTTCATGCAAAACAAAGTCAAACGAATGGTATTCGATATGATTTTTTTTAATTTTTTTGGCAAGTTAAATAAATTCTAGAATCAATGGTAAAAGAAATTATCATTTTAATGGACAATTTCCATGAAAAATAAAGACAAACGAACACCAAACTTTCAACATTTTTTAGGTGAAAAATTATACCAATCAAACACAATTAATTATAATTCCCAGTAAAGCAATTTCTAAGCAATTCAATTCTCTATAATTCATTTTATTTCCACCCATTTTTCAAATTTGCAATCAAAAGGACCCTTAATTCTAACAATATATTTAATGAGATCTGCAACTTTTTAATTATACATTTCATTAATTGTTATGAAAATCTATTAAGCCTCTGTTTGTCAACTATTATTTCAAAATGCTTTTTTTTCTGCATATAATTTTCGACACACGTTCATAAAATAAAAAATTCTGCTTGTAAATCCAAAATTTTCTATACTTTTAAAAATATATTCTCCACAAAATCACGATTCAAAACTCTGTTTTAGCCAAATAATGATTATAAAATAAATTCTAAAAAATTAGTAATGTTATTCATCTTCAATGAGGTTACAAACACAATTTAGGTGGCGTTAATGTGACACTAAATGATATGTGAAATTAAATAAGTCATTTAATTTCACCTATCATTTAACCAATCATTTACATCCATATAGACTAAGGATGTATCTCCACTGGGAAAAACTCTATTTTACCCAAATAATGATTATAAAATAAATTCTAAAAAATTAGTAATGTTATTCATCTTCAATGGGGTTACAAACACAATTTAGGTGGCGTTAATGTGACATTAAATGATATGTGAAATTAAATAAGTATTTTAATTTCACATTTCATTTAACCTATCATTTAGAGGCGTTAATGTGACATTAAATGATATGTGAAATTAAATAAGTATTTTAATTTCACATTTCATTTAATCTATAATTTAGAGCCACCTAAATTGTATTTATAACCCCACTAACGATGAATAACATTACTCCTAAAATTTTGATTTTAATCTTTCATCAAACGGAGCATTTAATGGTCATTTTCATATTTTCGATGGTAGCACTATATTGTAAATAATAAGTAGATAAGAAATGGATGGATGAGGTATAATGGCTACAAGTAACGAGGAGCTCAAACGTTGGGAACCACTGTGCAATTTACTCTTTCACATTATTAAAAATCAAAGGCTGTTAGCAGTGCTTTTCAAATTGAATAAACAAAAATGTGGAAGCCATTAATGGCATGGTCAATTCAATATTTTACAGTTCAAATGCCATATTTGAAAAGGATGGCTGATACTTACACTATTGGCTTACCATATTCACCTGTCTGTTCATTTACTTATCCCTTCAATGGCGACTCAGTCAACCCAATTTTATTCCCGAGTACAAATTTAATGGCGACCCAGAAATACAAATGACCTGCAGGTACTCCTGTCTCCTGTAATTATTCCATAAGCGTATATATCTTATATTCATAATTTTATCCATACAGTACAGACTTGTTTGGCTTGATATTTGTTTATGATTAGTTTTTTTTTTTTTTATCAGTTTGTTTATGATTAGTTTACTTTCATTGTGAGTTGTTATCACCCTTTTGTTTTTAATTTTGAGCTCCATTATTTGAAAAAAATTGATTTTGGAATAGTTTTTTTTTTTGGAAGAATGCCGTTAAAAAGTATTGAGAATTTTTGGGTTTATGTGTAATATTATTTTATTGAGAGGATGTGTTGTTGACAAGGGGAGAAATAAAAATGAATTAAGATTTAATGGGCATTTACTTTTTTTTTTTGTTTTGAAATTTTGTTCTTTCAGCTATCTCAAGGGTTTGGTTTAGTTCAATCCTTGACTTTTCATATGCTTTCCCAATTATTAGCGTTGGGTTAATTTTGAATTTCATTTTTGTCGATCATTATATCAGGTGTGAATTGAGCATTGAAGGTGTTTGGTGGTGATTTTTAAAAAAATGGGTTCTTCTGGGAAATCCCAACCAAGTTTTGTCAAGCTTGAATTGACTTTAATTGGGTTTCTGTGCTGGTTTTGGTTGCTTATTGGTGCGGATAGCCAGAAAACTCATCCTGGAGAAGGTAATTTGTGCTGTTCCAACATGCTAATGACGAATAGGCTCTGATGTTGTAGGTCTACTGTTCAAAATTTCCAAAAGAATTTTGTTGTTCTTGTTTTTCATATGTAATATACCGTGTGCATGTTTGCTATATTAGACTGTACTGACAATGGTAAGTAGATTGCTACTAAAAGGTAGTTTGTCTTCTTGATGAAAGATGATTGGAGTTCATTGGATTTGATTTCAATGTATTTCTCCTTATTTCTAATGTTTGACTTTATTTCGTGTATGGTACTTAAATATAACATAAGATGAGTGATTTGGTGCCTAATTTCTTCTAAATTTGGGATGAGTTTACCCATTCATCTTACCTAGATGAGTTTCCGTGAATGCCATTGTTGGACATGATCGATTTCATCTTTCATTTGAATTCTTTTTTAAAATGTGAAGGAGCAAAATAACAGCCAATTTTCTCCTTTAATTCTGCATTGGTTTAAATTCAACACTTTACTAAATCATAGTATTGACGAAAAATGATTAAGCTAATTTTAGTTGATTCCGAGATATGGTACTATTCATTAGAGTGAATAGTGATTGTACTGTATTGTATTGATTTTATTTAGGAACAATTCCTTTTGTCCACTGTTCAATTCACTCAATAGAGGTGAATTGTTATTGTAATATTAGGAGAGAAATAAAAAATAAATGGAGTTATTTGGGCATTATGTCAATGGATTGAGTTGAATATCAGAAACATGTTACATTATTGTGAACTTCTCCATTCTCTCTTCAATATCTTCTTTATACTCAAATTCTATCATCTCTGTTGGCAAAGGGTTGAAAGACTTGTAATCTGTGCAAATTCATGAAACAAATGTAGATAAGTTCTGTTCAATTTCATGAACATAAGAAAAGAAGAAACATGGCATTTTTTATTTCTTGATAAAACCATGATAAGTTTTAAATGTTTTCTGCAGTGCATGCATTGAGAGCTGTCAAGAAAAGTTTGATCGATCCATATAAGAATCTTGGAAGCTGGAACAAGGGGGATCCATGTACTTCAGAATGGACTGGAATTTTCTGCTGCAATGCTACACCGGGTGATTATCTTCATGTCTGCGAAATGTATGATTTCAGTTCATTTCATGTTCTATCTTACAGTTTAATGGATATAAAATTGGTTAACACACAACTTTTCCTGGCAGGTCATTACTGAATATGAATCTGTCTGGACGTTTATCTCCAGAACTTGTCCATTTATCTTATATGAAGATAATGTGAGTTAGAAGAATTACATTCTAATCTTTTTCAATAGTGTTTATGTTTTTGCAATTAATTATATTCTACAGAACAGTAGCTTTCCTCTGCTGTTCGCTAACTATTTTTGCTAATTACTTTAATAGGGATTTTATGTGGAACAACATTAGTGGGACTATACCTAAGGAGATAGGCAACATTACATCGTTAGAATTGTTGTAAGTTAAAAAAGCTCTTTGCACATTTTCCCTCCCCACTTGTTCTACTTTGTATAATGTTTGACTAGTGCTTATGGAAATAAGTGCTTGTAAATCCATGCTTGGAAGTGCATCAAATTAAATGCTACATCTTGTCAAGAATCTGAATCATTTGAGAAAATATCCTCTCTTTTGATGTTGACACATTGTTTAGAGTAATGTTTGTCTAAGATTAAAAAAATTTACTTAAGCAAAATAGTAATTTTTAAAATAAATAATTATTTTGATTGATCAAAGTTATAAATAAGTCTCTTATTTTGACACTAAGTTACTTTCAAAAGAATTGACTTTTTAAACTTAAAAAGTAAGAAAAAATTAAATTATCCAAATATGTTTAGAGATATAAAGTTAATTAGAAAGTGCACTATCTTTTGCTTTCCTCACGTGTGATTTTCTTTTTCTGGTTTCAGGCTTCTCAATGGAAATAATTTAACAGGTTCCTTGCCTGATGAGATTGGTTATCTTCGTAACTTGGACAGGTTGCAGATTGATGAGAACCAAATATCTGGCTCAATACCAAAGTCATTAGCTAACTTGACCAATGCAAAGCACTTGTAAAGATTTCTCTTGATTTCTGGACTAATATCATTTTGCTTTTCAGTTTTTTCATTATCATCTTTTCATTTTTAATTATTATTTTTTATTGTGAACAGCCACATGAATAATAATTCTCTCAGTGGACAAATACCGCCAGAGCTCTCTAGCTTGCCAAATCTTGTTCATTTGTGAGTTGGAAACATGATTCTCTTATCGATCCACTCACCTTATCATCTTATTTTAGTTAAAGAGTTAACACACCGCAGGTTGCTTGATAATAACAACTTATCGGGACGTCTTCCACCAGAACTTTCCAAAATGCCAAATTTAATGATAATGTATGTTATCTTGCTTCCATAAGATAAATTTACGTTTTTTCTGTTCCTTGGTATTTTTTTTTTTAATTCCTGTTATTTATCGTTATATGAAGGAAGAGTGTCAATATTTCTTTTGGGGATGTACTGGATAAATCTCTGAGCATTCAAATTTGACAGTTTCTTTCTTCTTTTCTTATTTCAGTCAACTTGATAACAACAACTTTGAGGGGAGTACAATACCTCTTTCTTATGGAAACATATCTCGCTTATTGAAGTTGTAAGTATATACAATTTTCATTTGTTGTCCAAAACAGATTTAGGCACCGTTTGGTAACCATTCATTTTTTCATTCTCATTCTTCTACTAATTTTCAACCACACATTCATCAATAAAATAATATTTTCCATCACATCAATAACTTTTCCTTCATTTTCAACCACAAAAAAGGTGTGATTTGACACAAAGAATACATTTTTTTCTAGAATAATGGTTACCAAACGGTGCCTTATAGGTGTAGATAATCTGGTAGTTCACGGTCACCACTCAAGTTTATGTACCAAAAGATCCAGAAAAAGCTCTAAGTCGTGAAACTTTACACTATTTATCATAAAATGCGAATATCTGCTATTGGAAGCCCTATACTATTGATGGAGGCAGACATTTCTGGGGATGAAACACATATTTAGAATTTATTCAGGTCAAGATTTATAACAGTTAGCTTTTGTTGGCTGTATCAGGAGTCTTAGGAACTGCAGTTTGCAAGGGCCAATTCCTAACTGGAGCAACATGCCCAATATTTCTTTTATGTAAGTCTGTTGCATTAGATGTATGTCTTTGGCATGCTGGACTGTACAATACACAATCTTTTACAACATGCCCTATATTGCTTTTATGTAAGTCTGTATGCATTAGATGCATGTCTTTGACATGATGGACTGTACAATAGACAATATTTTAGATTTTTCAATATTGTCCAATATATAGTCCACCGTACCCAACAAACTCACATTTTATAAATTCAGTTACTATGTTGGACATGACTTCATAAGTTTGTGTTCATTAACCTTTGAGGTAGTATGGTCTTTAACCGGTATTTCCTCTTCTAATTATCCTTCTCAATTCAGAGATTTGAGCCTAAACAAGCTTAGTGGAACGATACCAGCAGGCGTGCTTTCTGAGAATATGACAACTATGTAAGGACTCAATTTCTGATTGTTCTGGTTCTTAAATTGAATTACTTTGACATGGTATTAAATGGTTTGCCTTGGAAAAAACATGATTCGTTACTGGAACTAATACTTAGTTTCAAATATGCAGTGACCTATCATACAACAATCTTAATGGAAATATTCCTGCAACCTTTTCAAAGCTTCCTCTTTTGCAGAAATTGTGAGCTCTTCGACTTATTAATCAATTTAGTGTTCTGGAAATGATTGAATCTAAATTTAAAGGTTGCCGGTTAGTTTTCATTCACATGATCAGTTAGTGCCCAAGGTATAGTTATCTTGATCCTTCACGAAGTACATAATGAACTGATAATGTCCATATCCACATCATTTCTCCTGCAGGTCACTTGCAAGCAATTCATTAAGTGGTTCAGTTCCATCCGCCATTTGGCAGAATAGACTCAATCAATCCGAGACGCTCATCTTGTAAGACCTAAAAAGGGAAAGAATTATTCGTATCCTATTATTGATCTCATTCATTGCGCNATATGACAAGATAAAATGTTGTTATTGTTATCTTACTTATGCAGTTATGCTTTCTGACGTTGCAGGGATTTTCGGAACAATAGGCTTATAAATATTTCTGGCAGTCTTGTCGTACCGCCGAACGTCACTGTTAGGTTCGTCCAACTGTCAGCTGTAATGACTTTTGTCCTCTTGAATTGGACTCTTCCTCAGATAAAAAATGGAAGTTCTAATTTTATCCAAGTGTGAAACCATATGATATTGAAGTATATTTTTTTCCCCTTTTTAATAAATATAAACACTTTCAGCCTTCAAGGAAACCCCATATGCACCAAGGGTAACCTAACTCAGTTCTGTGGATCTTATGAGGAAGATTTCAGCGAAATGTTCAACCTAACAAGTTCCAATGCCTGCGATCCTCAATCATGTCCACCTCCTTATGAGTATGCCCCAGCATCTCCTGTTGCTCGCTGCTTTTGTTCTGCTCCTCTGCTTGTTGGATATCGTTTAAAGAGTCCTGGGTTCACAAATTTTCTCCCTTATATTGATGAATATAAGAATTACGTAAGTTCTGCTCTCAGTTTGAATATTTATCAGTTTGACATTGATTCGGTTGCATGGCAAAAGGGACCTCGACTGAAAATGTACCTGAAGATTTTTCCGGTATACATAAACAACAGCATTCATCTGTTTAATAAGAGTGAGATCATCCGAATTCGTGGCTTGTTTAGTGGATGGAGGATTCATGGTAACGCTGTCTTTGGACCTTTTGAGCTGCTAAATTTCACACTTCTGGAGCCTTATAAAAATGGTTCGTCTACTTCTCTTCTGGCATATTCTGCTATATATTTATTTGAAGATAAAACAATTATATAGATCATGTTATCTCGCTTTCTGCCTTTTATCTTCTAAGAGAAAGGATTATTATTGTCTTCCTTACATTTTGTTTCTGAATTATATCACCGTCTACTGGGAGCTTCTAAAGAAACAATATATGTAACTGCATGCATAAAAATGTGCCTGGAGAATTAATGTCGATCTCTTGATGGCATTCAGATTTTACTTGCACAAATGGTGAAAATCAGCTCTGGGCAGTGTCATTTGTTAAAAACCAGAACAATGGATGGATTTTTCCAACATGAAGTCATCAAGCAATAACCTGGATACTTTCTTCGAACTCTTACTGTTACATTTCATTTGTTTAGCTCCTACTATGCTGCGAGGATAATTTTTTTTTTTGTGGCTTTTTATGGCTGTTTTATTTGTACATACGTGGAAAAATAGTATGCATTCATTAACTCCCGAATTTTGAGGTATTGCTGCTATTATAGATCCCTGAAATTTCTCTCTCATGGTTGCGTAATCTCTTTTGTGGGCATGTGCTGCTTTCACATATTTTTCAGGAGATGTTCCAACTTCCTAATTTTTGCAGAATTTCCCTCTTCTTCACCATCTGGTATAAGCAAGGGAGCACTAGCTGGCATAATACTGGGGACAGTTGCTGGATCTGTAACGCTATCTGCTGTTGTGTTCCTCCTACTTTTCAGATCTCACACGAGGAGACACCGTGCATATTCAAAAAGACGTCCATGTAAGCATCTTATAATCCCTGATAGATATTAGTAGGTAAATTAATTTTCTTTGTGGTTTCATGGCGTCTAGAGTCATCCATGGAATTATTTTGATTGAATCTTTGCCAAATATTAAATAATCATGCTACTGATTTTCCAGCAAAGTTGCATAATGCAATTAGAACGCTCATAAGGTATTCTGGATTATGAGGAACCTGTTTATTAAGTCAAAAAACTGAAGCTAATAGTCCATTGATTATACTTTTATAAACTGGTAAATATTATATATAATATAGGAGAAATTATAGAGTTATAATCCACGCTTGCAGCATGTACTTTTCTTATTAACTGAATTGAAATGTTATAAACTTGTTATAATTTCATACTGGAGTTGAATATATCCTAACAGTGTGAAAGTGATTTTAACATCTCTATTTCTTTGAAGACTTGCCTCTGCTGTCCTGTGAGATACTTTTTTCAGTGTTGTTATACTGAACGTGTATTTGACATCTGCTTGAGAGGACAAAACTGAAATCTTTCTTTTATTAGAGCTTAAGGCGTTTCTTAAATAATTTTTATGCTGCATTTTAAAGTTCAATCAATAATTCATCTACAACATTGGGTTCTGAGAACAATTGTATATGCTAAAGGTTGCATTACATGAAATTACTAGGAAAAAACATCAAAGTAATATACTTGTGAAGCATTTGTGTGTTATTTAAACATAAGAAATCCTCTAGACATGACACGGAGATGTAATTTGTATGAAGGTTTGATGTGATACAGTGTTTCTAAAACTGGCTTAAGTTCCTTAGATTGAAATTTATTAGACCTACATGATATATAGTGGCAAAATGGCTATGTAATGTAATACACTTCCAAAGTTTTAATGGCTACAGGAAAAAAATTGATCGAGTTGAGTAAGTGGATGTGTAAGCCCATATCTTGTTTCTCGTTTTCCAAAGTTTGTCTCTCTTCTACATATTCGGCTCTCGTTTTGTAGTATATGGGTCTTTATTTTCGGTGTTCAAACTCTCCTGCCACGGAACTTTTTCCTTCGTTCCAAATCTCCTATTCTATATTTTTATCTTAATAAACCAAAAATGCATGTACACACACACACACACACAATGCATTTACTTGCTTCTGCACTGAAATCTCTCATTCCGTTAAATTGCAGCATCTAGGGTCCGCATCAGAATCGATGGGGTTAAAGACTTCACTTATGGTGAAATGGCAGTGGCAACAAATAATTTTAATAGCTCAAGCTTTGTTGGACAAGGAGGTTATGGAAAAGTTTATAAAGGTATTCTTGCTGATGGAACTGTTGTAGCCATAAAGCGTGCTCAGGAGGGATCAATTGTTTAGAGTAATGTTTGTCTAAGCTTAAAAAATTTTACTTGAGCAAAATAGTAGTTTTTAAAATATATAATTATTTTGATTGATCAAAGTTATAAATAAGTCTCTTATTTTGACACTAAGTTACTTTCAAAAGAATTGACTTTTTAATCTTAAAATTAAGAAAAAACTAAATTATCCAAATATGTTTAGAGATATAAAGTTAATTAGAAAGTGCACTATATTTTGCATTCCTCACGTGTGATTTTCTTTTTCTGGTTTCAGGCTTCTCAATGGAAATAATCTAACAGGTTCCTTGCCTGATGAGATTGGTTATCTTCGTAACTTGGACAGGTTGCAGATTGATGAGAACCAAATATCTGGCTCAATACCAAAGTCATTAGCTAACTTGAAAAGTGCAAAGCACTTGTAAAGATTTCTCTTGATTTCTGGACTAATATCATTTTGCTTTTCAGTTTTTTCATATCATCTTTTCATTTTTAATTATTATTTTTTTATTGTGAACAGCCACATGAATAATAATTCTCTCAGTGGAGAAATACCGCCAGAGCTCTCTAGATTGGCAAATCTTGTTCATTTGTGAGTTGGAAACATGATTCTCTTATTGATGCACTCACCTTATCATCTTATTTTTGTTAAAGAATTAACACACCGCAGGTTGCTTGATAATAACAACTTATCGGGACATCTTCCACCAGAACTTTCCAAGATGCCAAATTTAATGATACTGTATGTTATCTTGCTTCCACAAGATAAATTTACCTTTTTTCTGTTCCTTGGTATTTTTTTTTTTTTATTATTCCTGTTATTTATCGTTATAAGAAGGAAGAGTGTCAATATTTCTTTTGGGGATGTACTGGACAAATCTCTGAGCATTCAAATTTGACTGTTTCTTTCTTCTTTTCTTATTTCAGTCAACTTGATAACAACAACTTTGAGGGGAGTACAATACCTCTTTCTTATGGAAACATATCATTCTTATCGAAGTTGTAAGTATATACAATTTTCATTTGTGCTCCAAAACAGATTTATAGGTGTAGATAATCTGGTAGTTCACGGTCACAATTCAAGTTTATGTACCAAAAGGTCCAGAAAAAGCCCAAAGTCGTGAAACTTTACAATATTTATCATAAAATGCGAATATCTGCTATTGGAAGCCCTATACTATTGATGGAGGCAGACATATTTCTGGGGATGAAACACATATTTAGAATTTATTCAGGTCAAGATTTATTATAGTTAGCTTTTGTTGGCTGTATCAGGAGTCTTAGGAACTGCAGTTTGCAAGGGCCAATTCCTAACTGGAGCAACATGCCCAATATTGCTTTTATGTAAGTCTGTTGCATTAGATGCATGTCTTTGGCATGCTGGACTGTACAATAGACAATCTTTTACAACATGCCCTATATTGCTTTTATGTAAGTCTGTATGCATTAGATGCATGTCTTTGGCATGATGGACTGTACGATAGACAATATTTTAGATTTTTCAATATTGTCCAATATATAGTCCACCCTACCAAACAAGCTCACATTTTATAAATTCAGTTACTATGTTGGACATGACCTCATAAGTTTGTGTTCATTAAGCTTTGAGATAGTATGGTCTTTAACCGGTATTTCCTCTTCTAATTATCCTTCTCAATTCAGAGATTTGAGCCTAAACAAGCTTAGTGGAACGATACCAGTAGGCGTGCTTCCTGAGAATATAACAACTATGTAAGGACTCAATTTCTGATCGTTCTGGTTCTTAAATTGAATTACTTTGACATGGTATTAAATGCTTTGCCTTGGAAAAGGCATGATTCATTACTGGAACTAATACTTAGTTTCAAATATGCAGTGACCTATCATACAACAATCTTAATGGACCTATTCCTGCAAGCTTTTCAAGGCTTCCTCTTTTGCAGAAATTGTGAGCTCTTTGACTTACTAATCAATTTAGTGTTCTGGAAATGATTAAATCTAAATTTAAAGGTTGCCGGTTAGTTTTCATTCACATGATCAGTTAGCGCCCCAGGTATAGTTATCTTGATCCTTCACGAAGTACATAATGAACTGATAATATCCATATCCACATCATTTCTCCTGCAGGTCGCTAGCAAACAATTCATTAAGTGGTTCAGTTCCATCCACCATTTGGCAGAATAGAATTCTCAATAAATCCGAGACACTCATCTTGTAAGACCTAAAAAGGGAAAGAATTATTCATATCCTATTATTGATNCATTACTTCCATCATACTGAAAATAATGGTTTAATAGGACAAGATAAAATGTCGTTATTGTTATCTTACTTATGCAGTTATACTTTCTGACGTTGCAGGGATTTTCGGAACAATAGTCTCTCAAGTATTTCGGGCAGTGGCAGTCTTATCCTACCGTTGAACGTCACTGTTAGGTTCGTCCAACTGTCACTTTGAGCTGTAATGACTTTTTTCCTCTTGAATTGGACCTTTCCCCAGATAAAAAATGAAAGTTCTAATTTTATCCAAGTGTTAAACCATATGATATTGAAGTATATTTTTTTTCCCCCCTTTCATAAATATAAACACTTTCAGCCTTCAAGGAAACCCCATATGCACCAAGGGTAACCTAATTCGGTTCTGTGGATCTTATGAGGAAGATTTCAGCGATAAGTTCAACCTAACAAGTTCCAATGCCTGCGATCCTCAATCATGTCCACCTCCTTATGAGTATGCCCCAGCATCTCCTGATGCTCGCTGCTTTTGTGCTCTTCCTCTGCTTGTTGGATATCGTTTAAAGAGTCCCGGGTTCACAAAGTTTGGCCCTTATATTGATAAATTTGAGCTTTACGTCAGTTCTGCTCTCAGTTTGAGTAATTATCAGTTTGACATTGATTCGGTTGTATGGCAAAAGGGACCTCGACTGAGAATGTACCTGAAGATTTTTCCGGCATACATAAACGACAAAATTCATCGGTTTAATAGGAGTGAGATCCTCCGAATTCGTGGCATGTTTAGTGGATGGGAGATTCACGGTAACGCTGTCTATGGACCTTTCGAGCTGCTAAATTTCACGCTTCTGGAGCCTTATAAAGATGGTTCATCTACTTCTCTTCTGGCATATTCTTCTATAGATTTATTTGAAGATAAAACGATTATATAGATCGTGTTATCTCGCTTTCTGCCTTTTGTCTTCTAAGAGAAAGGATTATTATTATCTTCCTTACATTTTGTTTCTGAATTATATCACCGTCTACTGGGAGCTTCTAAAGAAACAATATATGTAACTGTATGCTTAAAAATGTGCCTGGAGAATTAATGTCGATCTCTTGATGGCATTCAGATTTTACTTGCACAAAATGGTGAAAATCAGCTCTGGGGCAGTGTCATTTGTTAAAAACCAGAACAATGGATGGATTTTTCCAACACGAAGTATTCAAGCAATGACCTGGATACTTTCTTTGAACTCTTACTGTTACATTTCATTTCATTTGTTTCGCTCCTACTATGCTGCGAGGATAATTTTTTTTTTGTGCCTTTTTATGGCTGTTTTATTTGTACATACGTGGAAAAATAGTATGCATTCATTAACTCCCAAATTTTGAGGTTTTGCTGCTATTATAGATCCCTGAAATTTCTCTCTCATGGTTGCGTAATCTCTTTTGTGGCCATGTGCTGCTTTCACATATTTTTCAGGAGATGTTCTAACTTCCTAATTTTTGCAGAATTTCCCTATTCTTCACCATCTGGTATAAGCAAGGGAGCACTAGCTGGCATAATACTGGGGACAGTAGCTGGATCTGTAACGCTATCTGCTGTTGTGTTCCTCCTATTTTTCAGATATCACACTAGGAGACACCGTGCAGATTCAAAAAGACGTCCATGTAAGCATCTTATAATCCCTGATAGATATTAGTAGGTAAATTAATTTTCTTTGTGGTTTCATGGCGTCTAGAGTCAAACATGGAATTATTTTGATTGAATTTTTGCCAAATATTAAATAATCATGCTACTGATTTTCCAGCAAAGTTGCATAATGCAATTATAACGCTCATAAGGTATTCTGGATTGTGAGGAACCCGTTTATTAATTCAAAAAACTGAAGCTAATAGTCCATTGATTATACTTTTATAAACTGGTAAATATTATATATAATATAGGAGAAATTATAGAGTTATAATCCACGCTTGCAGCATGTACTTTCTCTTGTTAACTGAATTGAAATGTTATAAACTTGTTATAATTTCATACTGGAGTTGAATATATCCCAACAGTGTGAAAGTGAATTTTAACATCTCTATTTCTTTGAAGACTTGCCTCTGCTGTCGTGTGAGATACTTTTTTTCAGTGTTGTTATACTTAACGTGTTTGACATCTGCTTGATTGGACAAAACTGAAATCTTTCTTTTATTAGAGCTTAAGGCGTTTCTTCAATAATTTTTATGCTGCATTTTAAAGTTCAATCAATAATTCATCTACAACATTGGGTTCTGAGAACAATTGTACATGCTAAAGGTTGCATTACATGAAATTACTAGGAAAAACATCAAAGTAATATACTTTTGAAGCATTTGTGTGTTATTTAAACATAAGAGATCCTCTAGACATGACACGGATATGTAATTTGTATGAAGGTTTGATGTGATACAGTGTTTCTAAAACTGGCTTAAGTTCCTTAGTTTGAAATTTATTAGACCTACATGATATATAGTGGCAAAATGGCTATGTAATGTAATACACTGCCAAAGTTTTAATGGCTACAGGAAAAAAATTGATCAAGTTGAGTAACTGGATGTGTAAGCCCATATCTTGTTTTTCCAAAGTTTGTCTCTCTTCTACATATTCGGCTCTCGTTTTGTAGTATATGGGTCTTTATTTTCGGTGTTCAAACTCTCCCAACGGCTGCCACGAAACTTTTTCCTTCGTTCAAAATCTCCTATTCTATATTTTTATCTTAATAAACCAAAAAATGCATGTACACACACACACACAATGCATTTACTTGTTTCTGCACTGAAATCTCTCATTCCGTTATATTGCAGCATCTAGGGACCGCATCAGAATCGATGGGGTTAAAGATTTCACTTATGGTGAAATGGCAGTGGCAACAAATAATTTTAATAGCTCAAGCTTTGTTGGACAAGGAGGTTATGGAAAAGTTTATAAAGGCATTCTTGCTGATGGAACTGTTGTAGCAATAAAGCGTGCTCAGGAGGGATCATTACAGGGTGAAAAGGAGTTTCTCACCGAAATAGAACTACTATCAAGGCTACACCACAGGAATCTGGTGTCGCTGATTGGATATTGTGATGAAGAAGGTGAACAGGTACCCCAATAATTCAGATATCAAAATTTACAACAATTAGAGATGTTTGGCTCAGCATAAATAAAAGTAAAATTTACGTTTTCAAACATATTTGGATAACTTAATTTTTGGTTATTTCCTATTTTTGAGTAAAATGAGGTTCTTAATCCATTAGTATCAAAATAAGCAACTTACCGATTTTCAACTTTGATCAATAAAAAAATGTATTCAATTTATATCTTATTTATTATGATAAGTGTAAATTTTAAGCTTAGCCAAACATGCTTTTAGTCAAGATTACACCCACAGAAGCAAAGACTGCATCTTTGATTCAGTGATTATATCTGTTTGAGTTACTACCTACTACCAAAGCCTATCTTGGTTTTGATTAGGGATGACAATGCAACGGCCCTCCAAGTCAATGATTTTCAGGGACTGGGATTACATTTACTGCTGGCATTAAATTATTATTCTTTATACTGTGTTTTATATTTTTTACTACGATTTAATTTTAAGAAAAATAAATTAAAGTAAGATAAAAAGATTTGGGACGGGTACCATATTCCCCGTCCCAATTACCTAATGGGGCATGACAATGCGGGTTATTTTGTCATTCCTAGTTTTGATTGGTGGTCTTTGGGATAACCTTGCCCATCTGCATAGTCTAATAGGTTTGAAACGTTTCAGCATAATTTGATTACATCTTCAATCCATGAGATATATGTTTACTTACTAACAGGACCTATCAGGGTTTTGATCGGTGGACTTTTGAACAATGTTCCCCATATCCGTACTTTATAGGGGATTCAACATTTCCCAACATCATTTAAAAGCTTTTCTTATGATATCCAGCTTCATATAATATAAGCCTGGATAAATAACTGACGAAAAAAAGCAGCCATTATGAAAATGGACAAGTAATGACCATGTGATACAGGTTTTAAAGCTTGAAACTATAATTTGCACAGTCATGTTTCTTATGCTGACAAAGAACATTAAAAGTAAGGAGTTGCCACATGAACGAAAAGATTTATGGCTTTCCCAATTGTGCACCAATATGACTAGAAATTATAATATTGTAGGAAGAGCATGTGACAAGATTACAGCACTTATATGTTCACAGTTCATTTCAAAGGCAACTATTTTCTCCCTACAATTTGTTTCATTTTACAGTAACTTGTTGCTATACACTGCTTTAGATGTCAAAAGTCTCTTGTTTACCGTGTTTTTTCATAATGCAGATGTTGATATATGAGTTCATGTCTAATGGTAACTTGAGAGATCACATATCCGGTAAATTTGAACTCGTTCTCTTTTAAATTGGTGTCATATTTGTTTCAATAATTTGTGCTATATGGAAGCATACTTCTTATTATTGCTATTTGGATGGATATTTTTGAAAGAATCTTAACCCGCATCGAGCAAAAGTAGAACAACACGTGGACATTATTGAATCAACATTTTTAACAAAAGTAGAACGACACATAGGGAAAATATCAAGAAATAAGGAGTAAAAGAATTGTAAAACTTAAACTAAACATGATTGTGGTGATCTATGAAAGTAGAAAACTTTACATGCGGTGGTGGTTTAGTTATTGAATCAGAGTAAAGGAACAATAATTGTTGGAATTCAACAAAGACATTTTTAGGTGGCTAAACAGAGTCAGAGATCTTCATTCCCACAAAAATAAAGTATCGGGGGATCACACGCCTTGCTGTTCCTTTTTGTTGTCGTACTTCCTTTCCTCAATTTATCCTCCTTTGACCTTAAAATTGTCGAGTACCAATTTTTCTTCCTTAGAATTACATTCATTCTGATGAATGTCCTTAAACATGTCCTAAGTTTGTCGTTATTGCATCCTCCGCGTGTTCCAATCGAAGCCAAAACTATCAAAATAATAGAAATATTTTGTGGGTATGTTCTTTATCCTTGTATAATGGACATTGTTGCATGAGGTGTTGAGTTTTCCTAATTCTCATTATGTCAAACAATAGAAACATTAGAATTTATGGAATTTTTATTTTGGGTAATGGGAACAACTGTGTTAATGTTTGAGCTATTACAGGTAACTCAAAAGTGCCTTTGACGTTTGCTATGAGATTAAGAATTGCATTGGCTTCAGCCAAAGGTATCCTTTACCTACATATGGAAGCCAATCCGCCAATATATCATCGTGATATCAAGGCAAGCAACATACTATTGGACCCTCGATTTACTGCCAAAGTTGCTGATTTCGGACTATCCCGACTTGCTCCAGTTCCCGACACTGAAGGATTGGTACCTTCTCATGTATCTACGGTAGTTAAGGGAACCCCTGTAAGTATGATTGCACGACCAAGCTCAAATATGTATTTCAATTAATTTTTCCAGCAGAACTGATTCAGTAGTCTAACCGGACCAATTCTAATTCAATTCATCTTATTTGCTACACAAAAATGCTGATGTGTGATTTTTGCAGGGATACCTTGATCCAGAGTACTTCCTAACTCATAAGTTAACAGACAAAAGTGATGTCTATAGCCTTGGAGTTGTATTTTTGGAGCTCTTGACTGGGATGCACCCAATTTACCATGGCAAAAACATTGTTAGGGAGGTACTATCTCGCTGCTTTGTCATTGTTTTTGGTGCATGTTTCGTAGTTTACTTTAAAATATAAAAATATATAAGTTTTCTTTGGTCGAAAGTTGAAAATAAGCAATTTACTTATTTAGGTAAGAGTTACTTCTAGAAGAAGTAACCTTAAAGTATGAAACAGGTTTTCCGAACTTGTTTGGAGACAAAAAGTTACCAAAGAGTAACTTTACTTTTTTTTCAAAGCTTAGCCAAAATGCTCGTGTAAAATAGAAAGCAATGTGCACGAAATTTTGTGATGCTATATTTTATACCCACTAATTGCTGATGCAAAGCGAAAGTGGTTCTATTTTACCAGTCCTGAATTTTCACTCTAAAAAACCGAGTTGCTGGAGGGTTAACTTCACTTAATGGTTTTCCATCTTCATCAGGTCAACATTGCATATTCTTCCGGTGTGATATTCTCTATTATTGATGAGCGGATGGGATATTGTCCTTCTGATTGTGCAGTGAAGTTCATAAAGCTGGCTCTTAACTGTTGCCACGATGATACAGACACCCGACCTTCTATGGTCGAAGTGGTTAGAGAACTCGAAAGCATATGGTTAATGATGCCAGAATCCGTTACCACGATGCCAGAATCCGTAGTATCTGATCCTGAAAAGATTTTCACTCCATCATCTTCGTCCTCTACACTGAAAACTTCTTATGCTTCGCAAGATATCTCTGGTAGTGATCTTGCAAGTGGCGTCTTTCACACAGTTAGACCTAGGTAACATCTTTTCTTATTTTTACCTGCGCCACTTAATGGACCTTTCCCACCTTTTCCATTACTGGGAAATTAATTAGACTCTGTACAGTCCATATTACTTTTAATTTTCTCTATATCATATTATCATGAGAATTTTAGTGGTTTTTTGCATAGCATTTCAGAGTCTCTTAGCTGTAATTGGGAGGATAATGTCATCAAGAATTGTATAAATAAATACCATCTTCGTTGCAAAACTTTAAGTCATGAATATATAGTTCCTTTGTATGTGGCAGTGTTATTTGTCGAAAACCATTACTTCATATAGAACATGGTCATTACAATACATGATCATAGTTGTATGTCTATTTGCATTCCTAAACTTTGTTGTCTTCCAATAAGTCCCTGTTTGGCCTTTGTTCTTCAAAACTCATTTTTAACCATGCATTTTATGGCACTTACAATTTTTATCAACTTTTCAATCATATATTTTATTAATTTTTATCAAAATCTACTAAAGAGCATAGCTTAAGTTTTATTGCTATTGTCTTCCGTTGAATTGGTGGCTCTGAGTTCCAAAATTCAATTTTTTTTACAGAAAAAGTGATTACCATCAATGATTTTTTTTTTTTTTTTTTTCCTTAATTTGTTTTGGAACTAGGAAAACTAATGGAGAATAATCTCTATTAGTACATTTTGAAGGTTTTTTCTTTATATAAGAAAAGAGATGTTAAACTAAAAGTCCTTACTAAAGGGCATGCTTGGGAGTCATAGCGTATCGATTTTGAGCATTTATGAGCGAATTAATTATGAGTGATTTTAGTAGCGTTTTTTTAAAACAGTTCAATCTATGCTTAAGAGTTTATTATCCACCGGTTATGAAAACTTTTTAAAAATAAAGTTACATATATTTTCCTTAGTGAAATTGTCACTTTATAGATTCTTGTATTAAATTTTTTACTTATAATTGATATTTTATTTATATGTATTTTTTTAACTTAAAAAGTTAAACGACGTTAAAAATTTAATTAAATTTTATGTTAGTATTTTTTAGTTATAAATAAACTTTATAATTATAAGTTAATGTTGTACTTTTAAATGATTTTTGCATATGAGTGAATTTTTGACTTATAAGTAACTTTTTATATTTTATAAATGATTTTTTTTTGTCTTATTAGTAATATTTTTACCCAAAAATAATTTTTTATATTTTACTTAGAAGTAATTTTTAATTATAATGCAATTTTTTTTGCTTATAAATAATTTTTTAGTTATCATATTTTTATTCATAAGTTTAAACAAAATATGTTGACTAGAAATAATTATTTTATAAAAGGTAAAATTAGAAGAGAATTTGAGAAACAACAAAAAATTGTCGATTTGGTGAGTTGAGAGAACAGATCAAAATTACATTACAGCATTTTTGGGTGGTTTTGCAAGTATTGGTTGTTCCAACCATTCATAAATGGTGCTACCCAAAATCAATCAAAATAAAACACCCAAGCAAGCCCTAAGTATAAGAGAACTTAATGGTATAAAATGAAATTGGTAAAAACACATTTTACCCTATGCATCTATCAAAAGATTCACTACATCTATTTAAGATGTAGTTATCGTGATACTTTAATATAACGATAGAAGATATATTATGTTATGTCTCTTCCAATGAGACTCTAAGATCACCTTCACGTTGTAGCTAATAACAAGTCAAATCATACCCATACTCCACATCGCAAGCCACCCGATCGAGGTGGGACCAAGTCGAGGTGACATATCACTTTATCCTATGTGCCTTGGAGGACGACCTCTTGGGTCAGAGATGAGGTGCCACCTCTATTGCACGAAGACGTCCGAAGCAATTAGCCTCTCAACTAATGAGAAGCATCTTCTATTTCATTTCATCTNAAAGGTTTGGGTGTAGTTTGCAACAAAATGAAAGGTTTGGGACTAGCGCTGCAATTTTTTCGAGTCAAAATTACTGTTGAAACGTTGACTGACGGTTTTATGGACGGAATTAAAGGTTTGGGACCAACGCTGTAACTACATATAAAGATTGGGACTTCGGCCGCAAAAATAAAAGGTTTGGGACCACGGTCGCAATTTTTCCTAAAAGTTATTATTGAAGGGCCCGCTTGGGAGTTATGGCGTATCGATTTTGAGCATTTATGAGCGGATTAATTATGAGTGAGTTTAGTAGCGTTTCTTAAAACAGTTCAATCTATGCTTAAGAGTTTATTATCCACCGGTTATGAAAACTTTTTAAAAATAAAGTTACATATATTTTCCTTAGTGAAATTTTCAGTTTATAGATTCTTGTATTAAATTTTTTACTTATAATTGATATTTTATTTATATGTATTTTTTTAACTTAAAAAGTTAAACGGCGTTAAAAATTTAATTAAATTTTATGTTAGTATTTTTTAGTTATAAATAAACTTTATAATTATAAGTTAATTTTGTACTTTTAAATGATTTTTACATATGAGTGAATTTTTGACTTATAAGTAACTTTTTATATTGTATAAATGATTTTTTTTGTCTTATTAATAATATTTTTATCCAAAAATATTTTTTTATATTTTACTTATAAGTAATTTTTAATTATAATGCAATTTTTTTGCTTATAAATAATTTTTTAGTTAGCATATTTTTATTCATAAGTCTAAACAAAATATGTTGATTTGAAATAATTATTTTATAAAAGGTAAAATTAGAAGAGAATTTGAGAAACAACAAAAAATTGTCGATTTTGTGAGTTGAGAGAACCGATCAAAATTACATTACAACATTTTTGGGTGGTTTTGCAAGTATTGGTTGTTTCAATCATTCATAAATGGTGCTACCCAAAATCAATCAAAATAAAACTTCCAAACAAGCCCTAAGTATAAGAGAACTTAATGGTATAAAATGAAATTGGTAAAAACACATTTTACCCTATGCATCTATCAAAAGATTCACTACATGTAGCTATGTCAACGAGCAGGCCAAGCCGAGCCCGGCCAAAAAAAATAAGGCTCGGCCCGAGCTCTGTCCCGAGCCTTAGCGGGCCGAACAGGCTCTGTTTTTTATTTTATTTTTTTCTAGCTATTTTAGTTTTAATTTTTTTTAATTAATCACGAGCCGGCCTGGCTCGGGCCGACCCCCCCAATATGGGGCTCGGTTCCACCCAGCCCGAGCCGGGTCCAGCTCAGGCTTTTTCCGGGCCAGCCCAAGCCGTCCGAGCCGACGAGCTTTTTTGCCACCACTAACTACATGTATTTAAGATGTAGTTATCGTGATACTTTAATATAACGATAGAAGATATATTATGTTATGTCTCTTCCAATGAGACTCTGAGATCACCTTCACGTTGCAGCTAATAGCAAGTCAAATCATACCCATACTCCACATCATAATCCACTCGATCGAGGTGGGACCAAGCCGAGGTGACATATCACTTTATCCTATGTGCCTTGGAGGACGACCTCTTGGGTCAGAGATGAGGTGCCACCTCTATTGCACGAAGACGTCCGAAGCAATTAGCCTCTCAACTAAAGAGAAGCATCTTCTATTTCATTTCATCTCTTGAACAAATCTATTTATGATCGATTGATGTAACGTCTCTACAGTAGACGCCTAAAGGTCAAGTCTTAAGCCCACTTTCCAAAAAACATTAATCACTTCATTAAATTCCCATCAACGTATAATTTATGGATTAATACTTAGGAGGAGACACAAGACACCCTAGCCACCCGATGCGTCCAGGTGTCTCCTTATCCAATGGTCAAAATCTTACCTCTACCACTATATAAACCAACACACTTTTTACATTTGAAGGTAATGCAACTTTAAACATATATTATAAACTCTCTCTCTCTCTCTCTCATCCCTTGACGTCCCATACTTTATATTTTCGTCACTGTCAAATGTCTTGACCATCAAAGTACTCGCAGTTGCCTCCATCACTGTTGAAAAGGGCAAGGATGACTAACGATTTCTTCAAGTGTATAGGAGACGTGAGTGGAACTAGGATTTGTTGTCCACGTCAGCAGCACAAAAAGCAAAGTCAAATATTACACCACGTTTTAAAACTGAGTAATGCTATTTAGCCCTATTGAGGTTATAACCTCAGTCTAGGTAGTGTTAATATGACATTAAATGATATGTGAAATTATTTAATTTCACTTTTCACTTAGCCTATCATTTAGAGCTACATAAATGAGAGTTACAACCCCACTGGAGATAAATAACATTATTCTTTAAAATTTGAAGCATAAGATTTTGTATGTTAATCATAGTTTTTTATTGAACTGTAATTATTTTAATCTATAAACACATATTCACATCACTGTTACAAAATCATGTGCGTTGAACGCGTAACATAGTAGTAACTAAACCATTCAAATATTCGCGACCATGTTCGTTTCCTCTCCACACCAACCTCGATCTGGTTTCCCGCAACACTTGTGTTTTTTCTCCCTTGCATTCCCCAATGTCATTGCAACTCTTTCTTCACTTTGAATGGGCAAGTTCGGGTAGATGAAATGAGCGATAATTGATTAAGAACACTTTTTTTTTCCATTCTATTTGTTCTTCTATTTCATCGAGAAAAATAGTCTTCTTAATAAAATTACAACTCTAACGATTGAGTAGATGTAAACGGTCAAATAGAAGGTCGGGTTATCTCAAACTTGAAAGTGGGGATGGATGTGCCAAAAATAGTTGGGGTTCCGAATGTTACAATATCCATTTGGTTTGAGAATTTTTGCTGCAATTTTCCCGTAAAATAGTAGTTCTCATTTGAATATATATGTTTAGATAAATTTAACTTATAAATAGTCAATTAGCAAATAATTGGAGAAAAACAATCAAAATGACTAAAAATTGCATTATAAGGGCATGTTTGGGAAATCTTTATAAATAGTTTGAATTATAAATAATAAAAAATGATTCAATGAGTGATGGACAAATGAGTAATACTCGTGGATCCTTTTGAATGTGTATATATAAAGTAGCTTGAATATTAATAATGCTTTATAAATATGAGCC